CGAGCACAACCTTTACACCAAAGGTTTTACTATACAGCTTTAGCGTACTTAGATGACAAAAATCTGTTGTAGTGATTCGTTTAGCTCTCGCATCTATGATGTTTGAAATAAATATTGTAAATTTGCATACCGTCTTGGCTTTATTGTCAATGGCACGGTTTGCTGGGAGACGTTGGCTCTAATCAGGCCGGATCGGAGCATTTTTTTCTAATTGTTCGATCTTTGTATTAATAATTATAACAAACTAGTGAAGTAATTTCACAAAATATAATTGAACATCATGGTAGTGAAATATTTTGCCATTCAATAAAAATTTTAATATTGTCAATATTAAATATACTTACAAATGTTTATTTACAAAGAGCAACCCCTAGAGTTTCTTACTCATTCTTCTCAGGGGAATTTGCCTTACGAATGAGCAGTAGAGTTTAATCAATATGACGATTTTAAGTGTAAATAATGCTTACCTGTGAAATAAAGATTATTTTGAATTTGAATTTGAATTCATTTACTTACATATTAAATAAAAATTATTAGTAGTTGAAGTTTTTAACAAAACATATTCACGTGCGTACGTTTCAATACATGCTTCATCTACGTACGTCGCGTCGTCCTTTCACTAGCTGCTATTTCTCTTTGTTAAATACTTTCTATTGATAGCGTATTGTTCTGTGCTTGGAGGATTAATGTGGTAAATACAATACTCTGCTAAAATAGTAATTTGTAGTGCCAAACATCCAATGAACATACGGTAAGCATCTTAGTTATATACTATAGTTTAACATAGTTTTGGAAATAAGTTTAATTTCCGAGGAAATAAGCGTATATAGGAAAAAAAATTGCATTGTACGATTATATGGACTTCCTTTTATTTAAGATGCTATATTATTTAGAAGAAAATAATCCTTATGGTTGACTACGATCAGTATAGTAAAATACTTTTCACATTTGGCGGGTTCGATTCCCGGTTGCGACAGGCAGAATTTTTGAATGCAGTTCGAATTGTTTTTAAAATCAAAATGTGGTCTTCTTTCAATATTTTTTTTTAATATATAGTACCAAGTGACGGGGTGAACAAGTCGTGCACCTAGTGGTAAGCGACAGGATTATCCATAACAGTTGCAGTGCCACTCAGAATTTTAAATCGCAAAGACCTTAGGGTCACTGCCACTGCGTCTGTCGCCTTGAGACATAAGATGACAAGTCTCCTGTGCCTGTAATTTCACCAGCACCCTTACCCATCCAAACCGTAACGCAGCCCTTACCCATCCAAACCGGAACGCAGTAATGCTCACATTACTGCTTGGCGGCAGAAATAGGTAAGGTAAGCTATCTACGGTATTTAAGGTTCTCTCCCTCCGCATGGCATAGCCTTGAGACGCCCTGTATAACGAAGACTATACTCGTAGACAATTTAGTACGTACATACATCAATTTACTAGTACGTACGCATTTAGGTACTTACTTTTTCTTATAAGTGTCGGAGTAGAGGAGACTGGGTAGCGCGAGCAATGCGCTGGCGCACCAAACTGTGAAAAGAGCAGCACGCGCCACGCGCCGACTCAGCCTGTGGTGCAGAGGCTTCACTATTGCCACGTACCTGTTTAACGAAAACAAGGTTTATCAATAGGAGATAAACTTAATGACAATACTTTATGATATATCTACATTTTAATGATATCAATAAATAAATAATGAATACTAACTTTTAATAACAATAACTTGTGGACTGATTAGGGTTTCTGATTTCGATACAATTTTTTTATCGAGTTTCGAGGATTCTCGTACCCGATTTCTCGAGTTATTCGAGAAAATTTTCAAAGCCTTCAAAATCTGCTTAATCACTATTACTCACTACATATAAATAGAAACACAATTTAAATTAAGTTTTTTTTTAAAGTGATTTGTAAGCCGACTTATCAGTAATTAAAAAAGGTAAATTGATTTCTTGACTTCTCAAGGGATATTTTTCTCATCTCAAAGTTGGCCCGATTTCTTGAAATTGATCGAATGGAGAAATCTCGAGCAGATACCCTAAGACTAATAATTCTAATGTTCATTTTTGTCACTAGTGTTCATATTAAAAAATAGTTTCAATATTCCACAACATTGCGAGAGTCTAAATCTAAAATGTCGAGCTTTTCGTAACTAAATAATAATATTACATTTAACTTTGTTACTTTCTCATAGCGTTGTATCGGCGTACTTGTAACGGCTAAAATGGTACGCAGTAAAAATCCTTTAAATTCTAAATGGCCTTTCAATAAAAGTTACTACTTTACGTTACCTTTTTAATATTATCGGTTTGACATTTTTCGTAAATTGCTTTCGAAATTAATTTTTGAGCGGGCTTTACACAGTACAGGAATCTATGCATGTAATTAAAAGTTATTATGGAAATTTGTTCTCTGTATAACTTACACTGCGTAAAATTTGTGTATATTTCGGTCCACATTATCATCAAAAGAAGAAAATAAATGTGACATTAAGCTGATATTGTCTTGCACGAAATTGTAATGAAGGTAATAGGTGTGCAAAGATTATTGTAATAATATTAGATAATTATATTAGATAGATATTATCTAATATTTTTAAAATAATTTTTTTTTAAAGCAACGTCTGATGACTTAGCTTGTAATACCTTTTATAAAAGTATGGTTAATTAAAAAACTGGTATCTTTTAATATTTTCACGAGAAGTTTCATTTCTTTTAACATTTCTTTTTGTATTTAAAATTTTACTTTATTGGAAAAATATGAAGCTATGAAGCAACAATAAAGACCTACGTTTTAACGTGACTTAAGTATTATATAGTACTTATATTTCGTAATAAAATGTTTAATGAAAATTTATTACACACAAAGTTTCATGAAAAATGAGAGACTTTAACTACATCAGTGATCTAACTTTCATTTAGACACAGCCTCGGTATCGATTAAACAAAGTAAACTGAGTAAACATCAAAGGGTCACTACAAAATACTACAAAAGACGTAATTGAGTAGACTATTAAGTACGAGCACGCGCCTGATGGTAAGCTACACGCCTGTCCATAACAGTTGCAGTGCCACTCAGAGCTTTAAGCTGCAAAGATCTGTGGGGCACTGCCACTGCGCCCGGTGCCCGCCACCCTGAGACATAAGTTGACAAGTCTCATGTGCCTGTAATTTCACCAGCACCCTTACCCTTCAAAACTGGATCACAGTAATGCTGACATTACTGCTTGGTGGCAGAAATAGGTAAGGTGGCAGTACTTCCCTGGACGAACTCTTTCAGAAGGAGCTCTACTGTTACTAACTTTTGCTGTTATCACCTCAGGGATGATAAATTGTTGTGATTATTTATTAAAATTTCCCAACAACAAGCACGACAGCAAAAGTTTTCATTTTATAAGTAAATTTTAGAACAAACTATCAAAGATAACAAAAAATCTTACTTTCTTTATTCTTAGATACCATTTTCGCAAAACTATGATCATGTTGTTTAACACGTTAATACATATCAGAATCCAAATCTTAGATTATGGAAACTTAAGGACGTGTTATATTGACACATATAAATCAGACGTTATATGTATATGATGCATTTCGTCATTGAAAATCTTTGAATTGAAATATTGTCTTTGTTTAACTCTTGCGTGCCGTCTTAAGCCAAAAGAGATAGCATTACATTGGTCTGTGTCAAACACGGGAATCGAAAATACGTAACGTCATCTTAAATGCCAGTCGTGTCCATTTCGCAGTACATGAGGTACATGATACGGTTGTCAAAGGGAAGTACATCAAACGTCAAAACAAATGTTTTTTCAAGTGTTTTATTGAATTATTCACATGTATTGTAATAAAATGGGCAAAAATATTGACAGTGAGAACAATTACGTATTAATAAAAATTCGTCGCTGCAGCATTACGGGATGTGGCATTTGAAAAACGGTACGTGTTATTTTTCTATCTACAAATCACACAAAAGCCCAAATATCTCGTGTAATTAGACATATTTAAGAAGTTTATTCATAAATCTTGCCAAATATTGCTTTGGTTTCTTCAGATTGCCTGTTTGTTTGTATATTTTGTTGATTGTTGTTAACGATTATTTTGAGATTGTATTGTTCTTGGAAGCGTACAATATCGATATTCTGTTATTACGAGGTTTTTATTATTATTATTTTTACTACTTCAAGTTTACCCACAAATCAAAAAAGAAAAAATAATATAAACAGCCTATTTGCCTTGCCGTGTCTTGCCATCATTCGGTGTCACTCGCCCAGCTGACCGAGTGTTTGACGTGGTTTGTCACAACTCGCAGTCATTCGTGACTACTTGTCTCACTACCCGCTCACGCGATATATGCAGCCGTGGACGCATGCCGCCACAGAGCGTTGCGTTATCCATGCGTCACTGGAAGCATACCACACCTAGAGGTGCCGGAGGTGGATTTTATACCGATTTATCGGATATCGAAGTTATAACAGGTAAAAGAACCAATATTAATTGCTATTTCCGTAACTACTCTAGCAAACCATAAAGTTTCTAATGCCTGGTTCTGTCATTTAAAAAAAATAAACAACTTCAAAAATTCGTCAAGATAATCGTGTGAGTGTTATTGTTTGGGCTGGTGATTTCGATGTTTATTTATTGAAAACATACCGTAAGTAGCGTTTTTTAAGTTTACCCTGAATATAAATGTTTATAAACTATACTTTAAGGAGTAATTCATGGTAAACGTTAGAACCACTCAAACGGAATATTATCATATTTATCCAAGTACAGCAAAAATTTCATTTGCAGTAATACACCGCAAATCCTGCATTTTTTAAGTGCAGGATTTGCGGTGTATTACTGCATTTTATTTGAGATGTATTTGTTGGTAGTACGGAGGGTATTTATTTAGTAATGCAGAATAATAATTTTTATTTATTAAAACTTGTATTTAAACTGAATGCTTTTCTAATTTGTGAAACCAGATAGCCGCCATTTTGCGGTAGGTTAATCCTATCCTTTAAGGGCCGTGTAGGTGGGGGTAGCGCATCGCGTGAGCGGGTAAGGAGAAGTGTCGATTTTTCTGCACAAATTTTGATTTGTGCAGAAATTTGTGGCGCTCGGCCAATAGGGTAGTCAATTGACATTGTATAATCAGACATTTTCATGCTATTTAATATATGCGAAACATGTTTATACTAGCACTGTCTCTTGTTACATCTCCAGTTATACCATGTTTTAAGCAAATAAACGTATGATTATTATTGATTATATTACTACTTTCATTTATTTCCAAAATTAAATGGAAGTATTAAAGATTCACTTAAATCAGTCACTGATATTAATTCTATACCAATGCATAAATACAAAAAAGCTTACACTATTTGGAATCTGCTTAAAAATTTATCTATGAAAAAATGAAACTTGAGGCTGGAAATGTATAGGATTTGTATTTCAAAGTTTTCTTTTATATACTCTCAAATTACAAATATTATTTTTTTTCTGTGCAAATTCACTTTTCGTAATATTTGAGTATTTGTAAACGCAAAACAATAAATTCAAAATTTCATGTGACATTCCCGGATATTCCCATATAACCTAAAATATTCCCAAATGGAATATTGATCTACTTTAATTAAATGTTTGCATGTCGATTATGACTTATATGGTACGACACTAAAGAAATCCGCCATTTGTTCGTTCAATTTTTATTTAGGTATGCACGTTCTTTCTGTAGTTAGGGCAGCTCCGTTCTTTTATTTTTTTTCCATCCTCTAAGATCCAAATTTATAATTTGGTATATTTGTAGCACCAATACACTACACACGAGAAGATATGTATTCTGACATGTTGGTTTAAGCAAGACATGGAGGAAATAAAATATTACCTACATACGAGACATGTGTACATTGTGGTACTCAAGGGAAATGCAAGTACGAAACGCCGCGTTACTTGTCTATTCTAGGCTTAGAGGATGGAAGAAATATTCTCGGTGATGGCTTAAAATATGTCAACGCATTTGGAAATTCAACTAAGTAGACTCTTCTTGCGTATCACTCTACAAAAATTCAAAAAACCAACAAGTTTAATTAATAGAGCAAGCTATCTCAACTTTTTTAAAACAACTCGGAGCGAGCAAATCCAAAAGTATAATTTACCATTTAATCTTTGTCGAATTTACAAGTCTAAATTAGTTAATGAAATGTTTTTCATACAAAATGAATAAAATTAACAAATTTTTTTCAATGCCGAATAGCCTTAGTTTCATGTAAGGATAATTTTATTGTATTACTTATAAGAAAAAAATTGGGAACGTACAAGTTGGTAAAATTTTATAAAAAGTATTTTGTTACTCCTGTAATTTAATCTGTCGATTATAATTTCATAAGCGATATCGTAAAGGCGCTCTTTTTACTTCAAATGAATCAAAATTCTTTTTTCTATGGTACTCGCCACGGAGCTGAAAGTTTTCATGAAAGTTCACATAGACACAGAACTACTCGTTTATTGAATATTATAATAGTACTGTACACACAACCTTAATGAGTTTAAAAAAGAGAACGTCGTATTTTTGCTAATTAAAATATCAAGTAGGATGCTACTCAAACGCTATACTGCCTCCT